ATATTTTGGTAGCTATGCTGGATCATTTGCCTTTCTGTATCAACTTTAGAATCAATTTCTATTTCTAGCTTCCTGAGAGTTTTTATCATGAATGGGAGCTGGAAAATGGCTTTTTTGTAATCTATTATTGGTATGATCAGATGATTTTTCTGCTTTAGTCTGATGATGTCATGAATTACATTAATTGATTTTTGAATGTTGAACCAATTTTATATAACTAGAACAAATGCTACTTGGCAGTGGTGGATAAATTTTTGTTCTACATTGTTGAATTTGATTGTTTTTTGGGGGATTTTTGCACCTATGTTCATGACAGATATCTGTAGCTTTCCTTTCTTGTAATGTCTCTGTCTGGTTTTAGTATTCTGGTAATGCTGGCCTCATAGAATGAGCTGGGAACTATTCTCTCTGCTTCTATTTTCTAGGATGGATTGTACAGAACTGACATCATTTCCTTCTTGTATGTTTGGTAGAATTCACCGCTGAAACCATCTAGGTCTAATACTTTCTGTTTTGGAAGCTTATTATTGATTCCATTTCCTTAACAGATATAGCCTTATGCAGTCTAGCTATTTTTCCTTCAGTAAGTTCTGGTAGATTATGTCTTTCACAGGTTTGATCCATTTCATCTAAGCTATAAAATTTGAGGGTATAGACTTGTTCATAATATACCTTTATTTATCCTTTTAACATTCCTGGGTTCAGTACTGATGGCCCCTCTTTTCATTTCTGATATTAATCTGTCTCCTTTCTTTCTTGGTTAGCCTGGCTAGAGATTTATCAGTTTTATTGATATTTTCAAGTAGTCAGTTTTTGGTTTCATTGAGTTTCTGTATTGATTTTCTGTTTTCATTTTCCTTGATTTCTACTATGATTTTTATCATTTTTCTTATTATTTTGGATTTATTTTAATTAATTAATTAAGTTAGTTAGTTATATGTACACCCAAAATGGGGCTCGAACTCATAACGCTGAAATCAAGAATCACATGCTTCATGCAAGTGAGCCAGCCAGCCAGGTGCTACTTTGGATTTAATTTGCTTTTCCTTTTCTAGTTTCCTAAGGTAAAATCTTATGATTATTGATTTTAGATCTTTCATCTTTTCTAATATATTAAATGCTATAAATTTCTCTCTAAACTTTACTTTGTTGCATCTCACAAATTTTGAGGAGTTATATTTTCACTGAGTACAAAATATTTTAAGCATTTCTCTTGTGATATCTTCAATGTATGTGTTTAGATGTTGCTTAATCTCCAAGTATTTTGGGATTTTTCCAGGTATCTTTCTGTTACTGATTTATAGTTTAGTTCCATCGTAGTCTCAAAGCATAATTTGTAGTCTACTTTTAAAAATTTATTGGTAACCCAGAATGTGGTCTTAGTAAATGTTCCATGTGAACATGAAAAGAATGTGTGTTCTGCTATTGCTGGATTACTATCCTATAAATGTCAATTAGATTCAGTTGATTGATGGTGCTGTTCAGTTAAACTATATCCTTACTGGTTTTCTGTCTGTTGGATCCGTCAGTTATTGATAGAGGAATGTTAAGTCTCCAACAATAACTGTGAATTCATCTGTTTCTTCTTGCAGTTCTATCAATTTTTGCCTTATATACTGTGATAAAGTTAGGTGCATACACATTAAAGATTATTATGTCTTTTTGGAGAATTGATAGCTTCATCAATATGTGATGTTCCTTGTAATCCCTGGTCATTTTCCTTGCTCTGAAGTCTGCTTTGTCTAAAATTAATATAGATAAATCCAGGTTTCTTTTGATTAATGTTAGCATGGTATATCTTTCTCCTCTATCTCTCTCTCAAGATCCCCGGATCTTTGATCCAAGTCTTTATATTTCATATGGGTTTCTTGCAGAAATCATATAGTCTGAGTCTTCTTTTTTTAACCATTTTGACAGTCCTACCTGAATTGGTGTATTTAGTCCAATCACATTTAAAATGATTATCAAATGATTATTATCTGGAGTAACATCTGCCATATTTGTTACCATTTTCTATTCATTGCCTTTGTTCTCTGTCTTCCATTTTTCTGTCTTCTCTAGTTTTAATTGAGCATTTTACATGATTCTATTTTCTCTCCTGTCTTAGCACATCAATTATACTGAAAATATTCTTAGTGACTGCCCTAGAGTTTACAATATACACTTACCATTAACCCAACTTCACTTTCAAATAAAGGATGTTCTATAGAATTAAAAAATATAATTCTTGGTAAAAGCAACAAAGAAGCAAACTAATGAAACCACTAACTCAAAAAGATATATGCAACCCTATGTTTACTGCAGCATTATTGACAATAGCCCAGATATGGAAGCAACCTAAGGATCCATCAATAGATGAATTGATAAAGAAAAGGTGGCATATAAATACAATGGAATATTGTTCATCTATAAAAATGAATGGAATTTGCTATTTGTGACAAGGATGGACCTTGAGAGCATTATGTTAAGTGAAAAAGTCAGAGAAAAAGTTACGGGTCATGTGATCTCACCTATATGTGTAACCTAAAAACAACAAAACAAGAAAACAAGCTCATAGATGCAAAGCAACAGATTGGTGGTTGCCAGAGGCAGGGATGGGGTGGAGAGTTGGCAAAATGAGTAAAGAGGGTCAAAAGGTACAAACTTACAGTTATAAAATAAGTCAGTGGGTATATAATGTACAGTATGGTGACTATAGTTAATACTGTACTGCATATTTGAAAAACTTGCAAAGAGAATAGATCTTAAAAGTTCTCATCACAAGTAAAAAAAAATTTGTTAACTATGATGACAGATGTTGTGGTGATCATTTTACAATATATATAAACATCAAATCATTATGTTGTATACCTGAAAATAATAAAATGTTGTATGTCGATTATACCTCAATTTAAAAAATCATAGTGAAATAGTTGTCAATATATTAAAAAACAATTTGTGTTATAGTAATATATATGCATATTTATTAATACATTAATAAGATCAAGTGTCTTGATTTCAAAGTGCTGATGTGCATAAATGTTATGTGGAGACATTTGATCCAAATACATGTTATGGGGAAAAAAGGAAAACTAATAGTTAACTAAATAAACAAAAAAGTAAATTAAAGACAACAGGGTATCAGAAATGTTAATACAGATGTACAACCATATAAAACTTAAATCTCAAAGGGTCATAATCATATGGGTTGAATTTTCAACCGAATAGAGATATAATTTCTCCCAAATCAGTCCATACATACACATCAGCCAATAACAAAGTTAAATAAATTTTCTGGTAGACTAAAACAATTTTTTGTTTTTAAATTAGGCTAACATCACCATCTGGCATGGAAAAGCTAGAATGTGGTATTACTTTCTGACATTTTGCATTATCATATGTAAGAGTCAGTAAAATAAAAACCAATCCTAAGTCTTAATAGATTTCAGTGATTATCTTAAAGCAGTGAAATTGAAAATACATAAAAGTCCTCAGAATTTGAAACATTTTCTCCAACATTCTCAAAACCACAGAAAGATTACAAGAGCGTAAGCTTAGATGGAGTACAAATCAAGACTAATTCTACTATATAACTTACTTTGTTTATAATTGAGATCAAAAGTGGGCAAATAATCTTGCTATGTAAGAAGACTGTAAGAAATAAGATGTAATCATCATAGTTTTCTTTAATGCTTTATATAAGATACTGAACTCAAAAGATCCTAACCATTATGAGTAAAATGTGAAATGAAGACTTGCCCAATAAAGCAAGATATTTACTGCTTTATCTATTTCTTTCTGTAATTTTCAACACAAAGAAGTTCATGAACTACTACTTTGTAGAATTATTGTCAGGGTTATACTGACTGAACCAATTTTTCCCTTCTCCAGTAACTTCAAGAACTTAAAAGATAGTCATTCCTTTGACTTTAACTGGAGTATTCTAGCAAGGTACTTTATATGTCATCTTCCCATAAAAGAACTTACATTCTCTGAAATGTAACAGTATTTGTATTTTCTCTAAAAGGGACAAGATATACTTGGAATAGTATTTGCTTACTTTAAAAAAATTGAAGTATTTAAGGTAAGAAAGAAATATGGATGACAAACATTAGAAAGCTTTTTCAAATATAAAAAAGTACACACTAAGTACTCTTAGAAAACTAATGATACTAAAAGGATTTGGAAGTTTAGCTTGTTTGTAATCTTGAATGATTATAATATCCTCATTTTTCAACCTATGAAAAAAATCTATTTAATTAATTTATTAAAATATCATGCCACATCACCAGAAAAGCTAGAGATTTTTAGATAAGAGAATTTTATTTACAGAAAGGTCATGGAGAATTAACAAAATTTTATGAACACAATTTTGTTAACAATAACTAACAATCAAGAATGGTTTAGTATATAATATCACTTGGTATATAATACATACTAAAATATAGTTTTCATGCTACCCTTATCCATTAGTTTCTGTTCCAATTTTTAACAAATCTAGAAATAAGGCAGTATACATGGAACAGATTTACTACATACTTTTAAATTATGTATTCCATCTACATCAGATACTGTCAATTTAAAAACCACCTGCAAATTAAATGGCCTTTCCATAATTCCTAAATTTAAAGACATAAGCACCAAATGGAACTCAAAATGCATAAAATAAACTGTCATAAATTTCAAAAGGAAAATATTACATAAGCAATATTATAAATTAACAAAGAATCTTCCAAAGAATACTGCAGAAGGTATATCAAAACTTTTATAATGATTAAGTCTAGAATATTTTTACTTGCATTCTTTTCCATCCAGCTGAACACACCAAAGCACTGAATGAATTGAAAGAACCATTTATAAATGAATAGTAGATGGCACAGGTCATTTTATGGATAAAAGGAAGAGGGACTATGTACTTTGATTTGCAAATAACGTTCTTTATCCAAGTAAATCCTCAGTGTTTCTATTATCCTTGAATGACAAGATTCATTAAGTACTGTGTGAAAAAAGAGACCATCCTTTTACTGATGGAAGGCTTCTAATCTTATTCGGGTCGGATCTTCTGGATGTCTCAAGGCAATTCCATTACGAAGGAGCAGCTCAATATAAGGTGGCCAAAAAGAATCACTAATTTTGACATATGGATCATGTGGAACATCAAATAATCTATTTAAAAGAATCTAGGAAAAAATATTGTTCAAGATATACCATACTTAGTAAAAAAATGATACAGCTATAATAAAACATTAAAAATTTGTTTACCAAAGAATGTTGATCTTTCTCTTTGAATGTCATAATTTCTAAGTATTAACTTAAATAATTTTCTTCCTTTTAAAAAAAAACTACAGATATTAATAAATGGAAACACCTTTAAAACTGTGTACAAGTTTCTGCAACTTTGTGGAAAGAATCCTTAAACTCAAACATGTAGTTCAGATAAAATAGAGATGCCAACTCAAGATTCCATCCACGTGAAAGCATAGGGTTTCACTGTGTAAATACTAAATAACAACATAAGAATTTTTTTAAAGTAATAATCTTGGGAATATGATTAAGGGCTAGTCCCCAATTTTATGTTCTTTTAAAAAATGACAATATTCCTTCTAGTAAGGTATAGAAAACAGACCCTAGTCTTATACTAAAAATAAATATAAATGTATTTAATAAAGGTTGGTATATTTAAGAAATAATGCAGTATTTTTTGACCTTGTGTATATTCGTTCAGAAATCACTAATTAAAAGAAATCTTGAAGACAAAACAACTACACAAAACACTTACCTCTAACATTTCATGCAGTGTTATCAGCTGTGCAGTTGATTCTTGAAAGTTTTTCTTTGACAGAAATGTGAATAACAAAGAATTAACATTTCAATTCTGCCAATGGCCGATTAGACTACATTTATCACAAAAATTTTTAAAAGTAATATTTCTTAACTGCAATGGTACAAGGTATACCAAAATAAAATATTTATAATTAGGTGATTTTAAAAGAATTCTGAAAGTAAACAATCTGCCTGTACTAAACAGGTTCATAAAAACAAAGTTCAAACAACCTCGAAGAGAGTGAAATCTTTTGCAATTACAAGATACAACTCAGACTATCTACAAATATATAATGGATAAATTACATTATACATATTACATATACTCGTATAATTGAAAGTCTAATGTTTGAACTCTCCAATCAAAATATCTCAAACAAATGGCATTCCAAACAGTATTTCTACAGCTTCAGGATAGGAAACTTACTTCCCAGGGAGGCTTGTTCAACTTTCTATAGTTCTTGACAGCTCCTAATGTTAACTCAACTAACTGCTTCTTTTTTCCTTGGAATGACAGGGAATAAATCCCATTCCAATTAGATCCAAGAATTCCTCAAATGTTTGAAGACAGGTATTATGAGCCCTAAGTCTTCGCCATATTAATCATTAGTTCCTTCAATTATTTTTCACAAGCCATAGCCTTGCAGCCCCTCATATCATGGGTGCTCTCTAAATGTGCTTTAATTTATCTTGTTTTTTCTTTTTCAATCCAGTCTCCACATGATACAAGTGTGATTTAAAAAGCAAAGATGAAAAGGAAGACTCACTCCCTTACTTAAAGATGCTGGTATTTTATTCATCAAGTTTATTCATCAGCTTTTGGACATCTATTCTGCCCTGCTGACCTCTCTCTGAGCATACTATCATCTAAAATGCCTAAGCCTCTTTCATACATCTAGCCAAGACAGGTCTCCTTCATTCTTCAATGTTTTAAACCCAAGAAAGATATTCTATGTACCTCCACTAAATATTATCCCTATTTTATTTGGTCTAGTTCTAGCCAACTGAAAAATATAGGCTTAATTCTGTCATCCAGTGTATTTACTATCTAGCTCCCTTAGTTTCTTATCATTTGCAAGTTTTCATGACCATGCATTCTACTTATTTATCTAAACTCCTATTAAAAATATTCCAAAGGGAGGGGGGCCTGGGTGGCTCAGTCGTTAAGCGTCTGCCTTCAGTTCAGGTCATGATCCCAGGGTCCTGGGATCGAGCCCCACATCGGGCTCCCTGCTCGGCGGGAAGCCTGCTTCTCCCTCTCTCACTCCCCCTGCTTGTGTTCCCTCTCTCGCTGTGTCTCTCTCTGTCAAATAAATAAATAAAATCTTTAAAAAAAAAATATTCCATAGGTCATCTCTTCGTGCCCATGGGTCCTGTCCCCGTGCTTTATTTAATAAAAATACTTTATTGTACGAAAACAAAAAACAAACAAACCACCCCCCAAAAACAGTATTCAATAGGACAAGGATCTAAAAGGGATCTGCTAGAAATCCCCTTCCAAGATAATATTAATCCTAATGAGCAGCTTGCGTTCAGACATTTAATTAATTACAAAGTCACCTACTATAATGACAGCTAGTACTTTCCTGATACCAGTCAAAGATTACCAGGGAGTCCTTATAAAGTCTTATGTAGGGGAACCTGGGTGGCTCTGTCAGTTAAGTGTTTGCCTTCCACTCAGATCATGATTCTGGATTTGGGCATCTGACCTTGCATCAGGCTCCCTGCTCAGTGGGGAGTCTGCTTCTCCCTCTGCCCTTCACCCCTCTCCTGCTATCTCTCTCTCAAATAAATAAATAAATAAAATCTTAATTAAAAAAATTAAACTCTTATGTAAGTACAAATATACTAAAGAAAGAGTAAAAATAAATGCAATTACTGAGTAAAGATAGTAAAGCTGCATCTCAAAATCTCCTGACCTCTAATACCTTACAAATGAAAGAGTGGTTAAAAAAAAGCAGCAATCAGTAGTGATGAAAGCAAACAGAATTAAAGAATTGATACAGAAATAAGCAGCTACAAAGCACAGATTAAAATATAAATGTTTGAGACAATCAAAGAAAAAGCAGAGGAAAAATATGAGAGCAAACCAAGAAAAAAAAAGTTTTCAACATAAAGATATGAAAAACAATATGACATGATAAAATAAAATTTCCATGAAATGAAATGTGACCTAAATCTGCCCCTAAAAACAATGCCAACTTCAAAGCAAAACTGATATTGAATGATCAACATTGTGACATATCTCTGTTAAATTACTGAAGTTCAAAGAACTCTTCAGGCACGTACTCAAGATATCTAGAGGCTGACCTCAGATCGCCATAGCACACTATATTTCAGAAGAATGGAGCAATCCCTACCAGATCTTAAATTTTTTTTTTAAATGTGCTGAAAATGTCCTTTGGCTGTAAAAGCAAACAAAGTATTTCCATCATTCAAGAACCTAAGAAATAAAATGCCCAGGAATTCTGCTTAAACAAAGTACTTATCAAAGAAATCCATCAAATCAAACAACTAGTTAAACTTAAAAACTTAAAAATAAATGGTAAAAGATGATAAGCATTGAATTCAATACAATATAAAGACTAAACACATACATGAATATTGGTATGAGAACAGAATAAAAGCACTATAAACCTGCCAAAGTTAAAATAAATAACACAAATTATAATGAGGTTATAGGAGGAAGATTGTTAATTTCCTCATTTTTTGTAGCAGGGAGTCAATGAATGCTGTCTAAAATTGAAAGATGAAATTTAAAAATGTATTATAATCTTTTATAATGTTTCTCATAATTTGTTTTCTCTATATTAGGGATCTCTCCAGAATTAAAATCCCTTGAAGCAAAGAAATATTTATCTGAGTTAAATAAATCAACTTCACTCATTTTTCTTCTATCAATTTAAGTAAAATTACATGTAATACTTATTTTATATTGGCCTATACAAAACTACATTGATCTGGGGGTGCCTGGGTGGCTCAGTCAGTTAAGTGTCTGCCTTTGGCTCAGGTCATGATCTTGGGGTCCTGGGATCGAGCCCGGTGTTGGGTTCCCTGCTCAGCGGCGGGTCTGTGTCTCCCTCTCCCTCTGTGTGCTCTCTCCCTCTCAAATAAATAAATAAATAAAAACTTTATTAAAAGAAATCTACATTGATCTGCATATCCATCAATCCATTTATGCTTCTATACTTGTATGTGTTTATTAGGAAGATGTCTCAAATGATGTTCACCTAATGTTAATGATGTAGTGGAAGGATTCAAGTTTTTTCCTTTTATACACATCCTTGAATGATAAAGCCCAGTGTTATGGACAGAATTGTGCCTCTCAAAATTCACATGGTCAAGTCCCAGCCCCCCTGGTGACTATATTTGGAGATGAAGCCCTTAAGGAGGTAATTAAAGTTAAATGTGACCATAATGGTGGTACCCTAATCCAGCTGGACTGGTGTCTTTATAATAAGACGAAGAGACACCAGAGAGTTCTCTCTACTCTCGAACAGAGAAAAGGCCATGTGAGGACACAGCAAGACATGGCTGTCCAGGAAAAAAGGCCTCAGCAGAAACTAACCCAGATGGCATTTTGATCTTGGACTTCTAGCCTCCAGAATAGTGAGAAAATAAAATCTTTTGTTGAAGCCATTTAATCTGTAGTATTTTACTAAGGCAGACTGAGTCATCTAATACATCCAGTATTACTGCTTGACAGAGAGAGAGAGAGAAAAAAGAGAAAGTAATCTATCATTTTGTAACATTTACCAACAGTTCATATACTTCATTTAAAAAAAGTGAGTTTATCAAATATGACTTAACAAACCCATGATGGCTTCTGGTGATCAATGATTCCTTTTTAGAATCCCTCAAAACCTCTGGTTCTATTACTGGAAAAGCTTGATAGATTAAAAAAAAAAGTTGAAAACAGGCAAGACTGGAATCAGAAAATGTCACTGAGTTACTGTAGGATTATGATCATTAAGAGGTAGGGAATCCTGAACTTAATGAAATGGTTAACAGAAGGCTGTCAGTAATTTTAGAACAAGGTGTATAAATAACAACAGATAGAATGGGAGACATAGTCCATAATGTAAAGCCTCCTGATAGTTACAATGAAGAAAGGGAAGAATAAAAAATACAGATTATAAGAAAACGAAGAGAACTTTCTCTCCTTTTCCTAGTATACTCACAGTCATTCAATAAATATGAACTCAGAAGGTACTATAATACATATGCAAGACAGTAGACCTACAAAGATGAATTCAACACACCAAGGAGCTCAGAGTGCATGGTGGGTGAAAAGAGAGATAGACATAAATGATTACTACAAAATCCTGTGACAAATGCTAACAAAATGGCACATAAACTTCATTTAATACTTCACACAAGGGCACGCCTGGGTGGCACAGTTGGTTAAGCACCCAACTATTCTTTTTTTTTTTTTAAAGTTTTTTTTTTTTATTTTAGAGAGTGAGAATGAGAGAGAGAGCACATGAGAGGGGGGAGGGTCAGAGGCAGAAGCAGACTCCCTGCCGAGCAGGGAGCCCGATGTGGGACTCGATCCCGGGACTCCAGGATCATGACCTGAGCTGAAGGCAGTCGCTTAACCGACTGAGCCACCCAGGCGCCCCTTTTTTTTTTTTTAAAGATTGTATTCATTTATTTATTTGAGACAGACAGAGAAAGAGACAGGGCACAAGTGGGGAGGAGGATTAGAGGGAGAGGAAGAAACAGACTCCCTGCAGAGCAGGGAGCCTGATGTGGGGCTCGATCCCAGGATTCTGGGATCATAAGCTGAGCCAAAGGCAGACGCTTAACCAACTGAGCCACTCAGGGACCCAAAACGTCCAACTCCTGGTTTTGGCTCAGTTCATGATCTCAGGGTCATGAGATCAAGCCCCATGTCAGGCTCCATGCTCTGCACAAAGACTGTTTAAATTTCTCTCTCCCTCTCCCTCTACTCCTCCCATTGCCACACATTCTCTCGCTCTCTCTCTCTAAAATAAATAAATAAATCTTAAAATAAATACTTCACGCAAAAGATGATGTTTGATTCTTAAGAATTTGCTATTCTCATCAGATAGGAAGTGTTTTGTAAGCAGAGGGAATAAAACGTATAAGGCACAAAAAATGACAGGTCATTGCATACTTGCTGGGACGAGAGTGGTATGGTTGAACGGATTCATGCAAGAGATGAATAAAGAATGGTTGGGCAGGAAGTAAAGACATAGACAAAGTCCAAATATAAATGCATTACTCTAAGGAGTTTATAGACTTCATCCAGTAGGGAGCCATCAGTTTTATGTTGAAAAATGATTAAAATATATATTTTTAGAAAGATCATTCTGGTACCGGTTTCAATGCCTTACTCTACTTCCACAAGCTCTATTTATTTATACTATATGCTGTTTTTACAAAAGGAATTAAAGTAGTTCTTCCCAATCTCTGTCACCAATTAAAATATTTATTTGCTTTTGTGGAAAAGGTTTATTCCATCATAACTACTAGTAAAATAGTCAAGAACTTACATTAACTAACAGCTATCTTCTGATTTTAAAAGTTACATATGTTCATCATGGAAAATTTGGAAAATAGTCAAAACAGAAACAAAAACTAAAATCCTAGCCCCCAGACATAGGCACTATTATATTTTTTGTTACAAATTAGACTCATAATATTTAGTTAGCTGTTTTATCCATTTAACAATAAATTGTGAGCATTTTAGTAACTCTTCTGGTAGTGTTCAATACATTATTTTTAAAAGGTATATTTTTCCCCACCATATGGGTAAATATTTTAAAAATGCATTTAATCCTGTTTTATTGAACTAAGTGGCTTCTAATTTTTCAGTCAATATTATAATATAATGGAATATTAATATACACTTACCTGTGTGTATCTTTGAAACGTATAATAAACTTACAAAAATTTATCAGAAAATTTACATTTGAACCTATGTGAAACAATCTCATATATAAATATCTACATGAATGTGTTCCCTAAAACTTACCTTTTTCTTTTTCTTTTTCACATTTCTATCAGGCAGAGGAAAATGATCTTCCAGAAACTCACCCAAGGTAATCAAGAGTTTCTCCTTATATTCTTTTATATCATGCATTTTAGTTTTCAGCTCATCAAAGATTCTAATAGATATTTTAAAAATTAAGAGAAACATTTTACTGATAAAATACATAAAATACATAAGTATATGTAACTGGTAACTCATAAAGTTGATCAAACACGTTGTTCAAACTTCATTTGTTCAAATGAAATAACTAGCTTTATGAAAGTAAAATTCTCTATTTAACATGTAGGGAAACTATACATCAAGTCATTAATCAAATGTCACATAACAGTTGGCAAAAGTTAAGTAAAACTCACAATTTCTAATAAAATTTCCCTTCTTTTCATTATGTATTTCATGTAACATAAAAAAATAACTTTTTCCTATTTCAAAAAACTAGAATACAAATACCTTGATTCAGAAAATGTCACAACCTGATGTTTCAATTCATTGTGTAGTACATTAAGAGATTCCAGTATCTGTTGTTGTTCATCCAACCACTGTTGCTCCCTTTAAACATGGAAAAACAATACCAACATAGCCAAATAAATAATACCAATTCAACATATATCAGTGATTAAAGGTAATTAAAATATAATTATACCTTTCCAAGTCTTCCTTTAGCTTTTCATTCTTTGACTGCATAGTAGAGAGTACCAATTCAAGATCATGTCTCAATTTTTGGAACTGGAACAAAATAATGCAAATTGTTTAGTCTGTAATCCTATAAACAGTTATATTTCTAAATGAGACTGAAATTTACATTATTCGTTTAGGATAGATAATCAGAAATCAAGAGCAAAAAAGCCTACCAGTAAGTCTGAAAGGAAAATATACAGCAGGTACTAGGTTCTTGGTAATATTTCACTTGTTAAATTCAAAAATATAAGAAGGAGTTTTGAGCAATACATTTTGATACTAAAAGACAATTAAATAGTAAGTTTTCAGTAATCAGGTAGATTGGTCTCTTTTTTAAGGAGACTATGCAAAAACAGACACAAATGATTACCATTCATTTAACAAATATATCATTGACTACCAGACATTGTTGAAGGAGTCAGGGATTCAAAGATGAACAAGAGGAGAACTGAGACAAATATATAACTCCAGTGAGTGATCAGTATCATGAAGAAAAAATAGTAGGAATGGCTCTTTTAGGTAGTATGACATGGAGAGACCTCTCTGATCAGGTTAACAGTACAGCAGCAGATAAAGAAGACATGAGATAAGACATGACCATATCTAGCAAAAGAATGTTCCAAGCAGAGAAAATTGTAGGTACAAAGGCACTGAAGCAAGAATATATGTGACATATTTGAGGAACTTCAAAGAAGACTGTGTGGCTACAGTAAATTACAGTAACAACTTGAGTTTTTTCTAGTATCTTTTTGTTTCTAGAACAAATTAGCTAGTATTCCATTGTCCTGATGTCAAGGGTTTCCATTAGCTTTTTACACATCTAAATCAGTGATAATTTAAAGATGTATATCATAAACCTTATAGAAACCATGAAAAAAAAGGGGGGGGGAAGAACCAGTAAACCAATAGTATAAATAAAATAGGTTTATTTTTAAAACTACACAAGTCATGAAATGGGAAAGAGAGGAAAACAGGAACAGAGAAAAGGAAATACAAATAGGAAAGAAAAATCAAGTACAAAGATTGCAGAGCAACCACACTGATATTACATTAAATATGAACTAACAATATAATTAAATTAAAAATAAATAATAGAAAGGTAACTGGAAAAATCTGCAAACATTTAAATATTAAAAACACACTTCTGGGCGCCTGGGTGGCTCAGATGGTTAAGCGACTGCCTTTGGCTCAGGTCATGATCCTGGAGTCCCGGGATCGAGTCCCACATCGGGCTCCCTGCTGATCAGGGAGTCTGCTTCTCCCTCTGAACCTCTTCCCTCTCATACTCTCTATCTCTCATTCTCTCTCTCTCAAATAAATAAATAAAATTTAAAAAAAAAAAAACAAAAAAAACCACACACTTCTAAATAATCCATTAGTCAAAGAAGTAATCTACAAGAAAAAAATTATGATGAACTATTTGAAAATAAAAACAAAATAAAAACTTCTGGGGTGAAGCAAAAGCAGTACTCAGATGAGAATTTACAGCAGTAAAAGCCTCTATTAGAAAACCAAAAGCTCTCTGGGCACCTGGGTGCCTCTGTCCTTCAAGCATCTGCCTTCTGCTCAGATCATGATCTCAAGATCCTGGGATGGAGCCCCCCATCAGCTCCCTGCTCAGCAGGGAGTCTGTTTCTCCCTCTACTCCTCCCCCTGCTCATGCTCTCTCTCTCTCTCTCAAATAAATAAATAAAATCTTAAAAAAAAAGAAAAGAAAAACAAAAGCTCTCAAATAAGGACAGCTTCCACCATAAGAAAAAGAACAAATAAAATCAAAAGTAAACTGAATAAAAAATAATGATTAAAAAGAACTTAAATATAGAAAAACAAGAAGAAAACTGGGGGGGAAATCAATGAACCCAAAGCTGATTCTTTGAGAAGGTCATAATAATTACCCACACTAATTACAACAGAAAAAAGAACAAAAATTACTAACATTAGGAATGAGAGAGGTGACATTACTATAAATATTAAAATGGTAATGGAGGAATGCTAAGAACAAACTTAATAAATTTGATGAACTAGATAAGATGGACAAACTCTTTAAAAGACACAAACTACCACTTATTCAGAGAAAAAAAGAAAACCTGACCACCCATAAAAAAACTGAATTTGTGGCTAGAAATTTTCCCACAAAGAAAACTCCAGGCCCAGATGGCTTCACCTGTGAATTCTAACAAACATTTAAGGAATAAACTTCAAACTCTTTTGAAGACAGAATACCTCTCAACTCATTCTAATAGGCCTGATACCAAAGCCTGACCAAGATGTCACAAGAAAAGAAAACCATAGACTAGTATCTCTTATTAACACAGACACAAAAACCTTAATAAAATTTTAGCAAATTAAATCCATCAATAAATAAAAAAGATTAAGCAACGTGGGTTTATCCTAGGAATACATGGTCAATTAAACAGATAATATAATTTTTTTAAAAAAATCAATGTACTAAGTCAATGAATTCAGTATAGTCACTGTATAAAATTAATTACAGCAACTGTTGCATATCTATACATTAATAAAGAAGCAGTAGAAAGAGAAATTAAGAAAACAGTCTATTTACAACTACACCAAAAACAATAAAATAACTAGGAATAAACTTAACCAAGGAAGTGAAAGATCTATACTCCAAAAACTATAAAACAGTGATGAAATAAATTGAAAATGACACAAACAAATGGAAAGATATTTCATGCTCATGCACAGGAAAAACCAATATTGTTAAAATGTCTATATACCCAAAGCAGTCTACAGATTTAATACAATCCCTATCAAAATACCAATAGTGGTTTCCACAGAACTAGGACAAATAATCCTAAAATTTCTATGGAACCCCAAAAGACCCCAAATAGCCAAAGCATTCTTGAAAAAGAGCAAAAGCTGGAGGTTTCACAATCCCAGATTTCAAGATATACAACAAAGCTGTAGTAATCAAAACAGTACGGCACTGCATAAAAACAGATACATAGATCAATGGAACAGAATATAGAGTCCAGAAGTAAATCCATGCTGTTATGGTCAATTAATCTACAACAAAGGAGGCAAGAATATACAATGGGAAAAAGACCATTTCTTCAACAAATGGTGATGGGAAAACTGGACAGCTACAAGTAAAAAAATGAAATTGGGCCACTTTCTTATACCATACACAAAATAAACTCCAAATGGGTTAAAGATCTTAATGTAAGACCTAAAACCATAAAATTTCTAAAAGAAAACATAGGCAGTAATTTCTTTGACATCAGCCATAGAAATAATTTTCTAGATATGTCTCCTCTGACAAGGAAAACAAAAGCAAAATTAAACTACTGAGACCACACCAAAATAAAAAGGAAACCATCAGTAAAACTTACTGAATGGGAGAAGATACTTGCAAATGATATATCGATAAGGGGTTCATATCCAACTATATAAAGAACTTACACAACTCAATAACAACAAAAACAAATAATCCAATTAAAACTGGGCAGAGGACCTGAATAGTCATTTTTCCAAAGAGAATATACAGGGGTGCCTGGGTGGCCCAGTTGGTTATGTATGTGCCTTTGGCTCAGGTCAGGATCCTGGGGTCCTGAGATCAAGCCCTGCATCGGGCTCCTCGCTCAGCAGGGTGTATGCTTGTCCCTTTCCCTCTGCACACCACCCCCCGCTCATGCTCGCTTTCTCTCTCTCAAATAAATAAATAAAATCTTTAAAAAATAAACAAAGAGGTCATACAAACACATGAAGATGCTCAACATAACTAATCATCAGGGAAATGCAAATTAAAGCCACAGTGAGATATCACTACACACCTATCAGAATGGTTATAATCAAAAACACAATAACAAGAGTTGGCAAGGATGAAGAGAGAAAGGAATCTTTGTACACCGTTGGTGAGAATGCAGATGGATGCAGCCACTGTGGAAAACAGTATGGAGGTTCCTCAAAAAATTAAAAATAGAATTACCATATGATCCAGTAATTCCACTACTAGGTATTTAACCAAAGAAAATGAAAACATTAATTTGAAAAGATATATACACCCCTATGTTTACTGTAGCATTATTTACAATAGCCAAGATATGAAAGTAACCCAAGTACCCTTCAATAGAAGGATAAAGAAGATGTGATATATAGGTACTATGGAATATTATTCAGCCATAACAAAGAACATCATCTTGCCATTTGCAACAATATGGATGGATCTAGAGGGGATAATACTAAGTGAAATATATCAGACAGAGAAAGACTATTACCATATGGTTTCACCTATACATGAAATTTAAGAAACAAAAGAACAAAGAAAAAAAAGACAAAGAAACTGTCTTAAATATAAAGAACAGAGAGGAGGTGTATGGAGGGATAGGGAAAGGAGACAAAGGGGATTAAAAGTGCACTTATCTTGATAAGCACTGAGAAATGTTTAGAATTGTTGAATCATTATATTGTATACCTAAAACTAATATAATACTCCATGCTTCAAAATAATCAGTGTAATTTATTATATCAACAGACTAAAACAGAAAAAATATCATCTTCTCAATGAATTCAGAAAGAATAAATGACAAAATTCAATAATAATTCATGATTTTAGAAAAAGACTTCATAAATTGTAATAGAAGGTAATTTCCTCGACTTGATTAAGGGCATCTATGAAAAACCTACTACTAATATCACACTTAATGATGAAAGAGTGAATGCTATCCACAAAGGTCGGGAACAAGGCAAAAATGTCCATTCTCACCACTTTTATTAAATATGTTACTAAACGTTCTAGGGGCACCTGGGTGGCTCAGTCAGATAAGCCATCGACTCTTGATTTTGGCTCAGGTCATGATCACAGTGTCATGAGATTGAGCCCTGTGTTGGGGTCTGGGCTCAGTGGGGAGTCTCCTTGGGATTCTCTCCATCTCCCTCTGCTAGTGTGCCCTCTCTCTCAAATAAATAAATCTCTAAAAAAAAAAAGTTCTAGAACAGTACAATAAGCCAAGAAAAATGAAAGGCATCTAACGGCACCTAGCCGGCACAGCCAATTAAGCACGTGACTCTTGGTTTCAGCTCAGATC